TGAGGATCCCCAGGGGCCATGGGGCTCTTTTCTTGCATATGGCGCACGCGAGCGGACAAGCATGTACAAACTTTCTACGGATGCATATGGCGCACGCGAGCGAGCAAACCGGTGCAAACAACTGGTCTTTTCAAAACATGATATCGTCGTCTCTTTCTTAGCGCCAGCTCCAATGTTTATATACATAACTATGTAGCGCTATAGCTCTTGAACACTGTTTCCTTTGTTACAAAAAAAAAAGTCGCATCGTATTGGTGCAAAGCAGTGTATTTGTCAGCAAGCAAGGTGCCTGCTGCCGCTGCTAAGTGTCAGCCTCTAGTCTATCAGTAAATCTATATCTGACTCTTATAGTAGAGCATGCACCTTCCTTTTTTGGTCATTTTTCCCACAATACAATAATTGTAGCCCTTTCTTTTAGCTTTCTAAATATACTGAAATTATGTTATTTGGTTTTGTTTTCATGGAGAAAAACACAAAAAACAAAAAAAAACGCGACACTTTTGACATTCATTTACCTCATATCTCCACAACAGGAGCACTTCAGAACATAATTCAAACAGATTTGGGAAGCTACAGTGCAGGGCTACAACTTTGGTTTTTTGACCCCTTTTGGAGTTTGGTCATGTGACCACTCTCCTGATTACTAAAAATCACCAATAATATTGCCCAAGTAGCTAATGAAAATCGCAATGATGTTGCCCAAGTAGCCAATGAAATTTCCAATGATATTGCCAAAGGAGCCAATGAAAATCGCAATGATATTGCCCAAGTAGCTAATGAAAATCGCAATGATGTCGCCCAAGTAGCTAATGAAATTGCCAATGATATTGCCCAAGTAGCTAATGAAAATCACAATGATATTGCCCAAGTAACTAATAAAATTTCCAATGATAATGCCAAAGGAGCTAATGAAAATCGCAATGATATTGCCCAAGTAGCTAATGAAAATCACAATGATATTGCCCAAGTAGCTAATGAAAATCACAATGATATTGCCCAAGTAACTAATAAAATTTCCAATGATATTGCCAAAGGAGCTAATGAAAATCGCAATGATATTGCTCAAGTAGCTAATGAAAATCGCAATGATGTCGCCCAAGTAGCTAATGAAATTGCCAATGATATTGCCCAAGTAGCTAATGAAAATCACAATGATATTGCCCAAGTAACTAATATAATTTCCAATGATATTGCCAAAGGAGCTAATGAAAATCACAATGATATTGCCCAAGTAGCTAATGAAAATCACAATGATATTGCCCAAGTAACTAATAAATTTTCCAATGATATTGCCAAAGGAGCTAATGAAAATCGCAATGATATTGCTCAAGTAGCTAATGAAAATCGCAATGATGTCGCCCAAGTAGCTAATGAAATTGCCAATGATATTGCCGAAGGAGCTAATGAAAATCACAATGATATTGCCCAAGTAGCTAATGAAAATCGCAATGATGTCACCCAAGTAGCTAATGAAATTGCCAATGATATTGCACAACCAGCTAATGAAATTTCCAATGATACTGGCCACATAATTTATGAAAATCGCAATGATATTGCCCAAGTAGCATATGAAATTTCCAATGATATTGCCAAAGTAACCATTGAAAATCGCAAAATGATATCACCCATGTAGCTAATGAAATATCCAATGATACTCGCCAGACAACTAATGAAAATCGCAATGATATGGCTTTGAAAAGATATGAAATTGGTAATGATAACCACAGGCTACCTTATGAGGGAGGCCCAAAACCTTGCCTACACTTAATGAAAAAGCGCAGCCTTTATGATAATGAAAAAACATGGTAACAGTAATGATTCCCTATCATAAAGAGTGTGGATGGATACACAGGGACCTATAGGCAGTTACCTGTTTTATATGATAAAAGTGGTAGCCACCAGTCCCCGACAATATAGCAAAAATTGAGCAAGAGGTACCTCCGCAATAGCCACACTCATTCGTCGAATTCACATCTTCTTTGCCAGTTCTGGCCTATGTACCCAATTTTCTTTTTGATCAAAGACGACGGTCTCCAGCAACGAATAAAATTTGCGCGATACTACATGGCGAAATTTTTTGATAACGACAGACATTGATGTTTGACTGCTTTAGTTTTAGCTGAAGTACGTTTTTTATTCGTCGTCCGGAGTGTTCATTCGTAATGGCGGTTCTCAGGGTTCTCAGGAAACAACGAGACAATCAATGGTGCGTCTTCTCTTCATTTGATACAACTGAGTGAACAGACGAACTTTAGCGACGACAGATAGCCGTTTCGGATCACAGTTCTGTTGCAACTCAACCAAATCATAATCCGGTTCGGAATCCTCGAAGTGAATCACCCCCAGACATCCTCGCGAAACTAGAAAGAGAAACTGCAGAATTGACGCATTTCCTCAAATCGTGTACCCCCGACATGTCCCAATATTTACACCATTTCATCGGGTTTGGCTGCAAAAACAAGAAATTTTTATCGGTTGCCAATACATGGGACGATAAGGAGGTCAAAGGGTTTTTGAAGGGTGTTTCGGATAGGGGAGAAGTTCCAATGACTCCAATGGAGATGTTGGTTCTTAAAAATCACCTTCGTCGTTACTTCACTTAGCCAATCCTCAAACGCATTATATCACCATTCGCATATCTTGTACCATGAACATCTCGGACAATCTAACATGTTATCACTGTCACTGTTGCCTTTCGTGTACATTTTGCTTTTTTGATTGGCAATACAACTTTGTCTGTACCCTAATAGCGTATTTAAGTCTGATTTAATCATTACGACGATGTCAAGCAACTTCTACATCTTCCATGACTTGATCTTCATCTGCCTACTGACGTAGCGGGAATACGTATTTATGTGATTTTTTTGTGAAAGTCGACCACATGCCCTGCGCGTTCGATGGTGGTGTAACTAACAAAAATCAACGATGTCTTTTACCTTACTGGCCAGAAGTAAGGCCTTTCGGCATTTTGCATTTGGAGTGCTGAGCAGGGAATGGTTACTTAGCGCTTAACGAATAGTTGAAGTTTTGAATGGTTGTTGTCTTTGTTTCTTTCTACGTACATCGTCACTGCACCAAACAAGTGACAATTTTAAACTGAAAAGTGGACGTCCACTTTTCAGTTTGAAATTTGTGATTGTTTGTCTCACCTCGACACGTTGACAAGACGTTTAGTGCTTTGAGTTTCCCTCTGTTACGACGACACTCTGTTCTGAAGCGCGGTCTTTGTTAAATGTTAAGATGGTTGTTTCTTGAACTGAGTTGGAGAGAGACTGATGGATACGTTGCAGGAGTTATTCGTATGATGTTGACAGATCACAAGGAAGAGCCTATCTCATTGACGGCGATCTGTTTTATTCGCCAAATAGTCGAAGAGCTATAGACGTCCCCCCTCAGGTCACGAAGCAGGGTGGCGTCGTTAACCCTTTTCTTCAATTTCGACGATATCCTCGATTATCTGCCCTTCAATTGCCTCGATGGTGGACCCCACATTTCGGTTGGATGGCTTTCATACCTCTGAAATTCAGTTTTAGCTGCGTGCCGTTTGATAGGCTACGCTTCATACCGACCCAAGTCACAGATACGAAAGATCTGTTTGCGCTTGATGCTGTCACTGCACAATCTTGGTACCATCTTCAGTACTTTCTGCACGATGTCGCGGTGTTACTGAATCTGCGCTACAAAGTCGCTCTCATTACGCCACATTTACCTTCTGCCTATGATTTCACGAAACCCTTTCGATCGAACTCAGCTGGTCGTCGAAGATTGGCTGAAGCTCGAGACTGGTTCGTTGTGTGGATGACCATTGTATCCTATTTGATGGCTGTAGGAGCCGCTCCAAAGAGACAGTCCAAATACAATGGATTTGGCAACATACCGGGATGGTATCAGATCCTCACCGATGATGGATATGACCAAATATGGTTGAATGGGCTTTGCTCGTCGTGGTTATATCAATTTGATACTCAAATACCACGTGCGGGCACAATTATCGTTTTACTGGACGGATGTTCCAGTCGGCCTACAGTCTCGTGGTTCTGTGACCACAATATAGCGGTGTGGTATCGATGGACCAAAGTGGAGGTCAAAGCGGCGAAAGATCGCAAAGAAATCGAAGCCTTAGCGCCTCTTCCACATCAAATACAAGAAGTGTTAACTTTGTTACACAAAAAGCCGACATGCCGGGAGGAAAGATCCCTCTGCGTCTACTTAACTCGACTATTAAACTCGGCCACTGCGTCGGAAAATACTTTGTGGAGTTCAACAACATTTCAGCA